GACCAGCAGAGGAGGTAACAGCACCAGGAGAGAGGGACAGTGACCAGCAGAGGAGGTAACAACACCAGGAGAGAGGGACAGTGACCAGCAGAAGAGGTAACAGCACCAGGAGAGAGGAACAGTGACCAGCAGAGGAGGTAACAACACCAGGAGAGAGGGACAGTGACCAGCAGACGAGGTAACAGCACCAGGAGAGAGGGACAGTGACCAGCAGAGGAGGTAAAAGCACCAGGAGAGAGGGACAGTGATCAGCAGAGGAGGTAACAACACCAGGAGAGAGGGACAGTGACCAGCAGAGGAGGTAACAACACCAGGAGAGAGGGACAGTGACCAGCAGAGGAGGTAACAACACCAGGAGAGAGGGACAGTGACCATCAGAGGGGGTAACAGCACCAGGAGAGAGGGACAGTGACCAGCAGAGGAGGTAACAGCACCAGGAGAGAGGAACAGTGACCAGCAGAGGAGGTAACAGCACCAGGAGAGAGGAACAGTGACCATCAGAAGAGGTAACAGCACCAGGAGAGAGGAACAGTGACCAGCAGAGGAGGTAACAGCACCAGGAGAGAGGGACAGTAACCAGCAGAGGAGGTAAAAGCAGCAGGAGAGAGGGACAGTGACCAGCAGACGAGGTACAAGCACCAGGAGAAAGGAACAGTCTTGCCGCAATGTTGCTCCCAATCATTGATGAGAGTGAACTGACACTCAGGCGTGTGAGTCTACACTGCCCTGTGATTATACCAGTAGCACCATTGCTGTTCGCAGGCAGTTCCACCACTCAGTCCTGATGTTGCACTTCAAACCTGTGTTTGTGTCTGTGCACTCTCTGCACCACCTTGTATAGCATTGGTTCTCAGTGCAACCGCTATATAAATGCAAATTGGTAGAAGATTGGTGTCCCACATAATAAGCCAAATAGCACTATGTTTGCATTTTTTACCACAATTGTTTTGTTGTCCTGTTGATGCAAAGATTTCCAAGTTACTTACAGTGACAACGTGACATGAACCGACCTTCCACTAAGTACCATGACACCAGGCTATAGTCCAACAGGCTTATTTGAAATCACAAACTTTCGGAGCAGCAGTGATTTCAAATAAACCTGTTGGACTATAACCTGGTGTCATGTGACTTCTAACTTTGTCCACTCCGGTCCAACCCTGGCACCTCCATATCATAAGTACTGGCAGGAAGTTTTAATATCATTGCTGCTATTCTGGGCTCCCTCCTTGTGGTTCATCTGAGCCTTTTTCTTTGTACTCTTTAAGACAAAAATATTCATTTTCTCTCCCCCCAACACTGTTGCTTCCCTCTTGCTCTCACTCTGGAATCTCTCGTGCTTTCTTTCCTTCACTCCTTCCTCGTATGCACGCCGCCAAAGAATTCTGACCATAAATCCATTGTTTTTCTTGCTGTGGTGGTTGAAAATCTGCAGAGTTTAGCCTTATTCCCAGGGTATGAACAAAAAGAACTTGTAGATCAGCCAGTTCTTTTCCCATGCCTGTTTCTTTGGCCTGGAGTCATGTGCAATGTAGGGAGTCCCTATAGAAATGGGAAACACAGCCCTGATGTGAATGATCTCCTGCACAAAGAGAAATTTGCTTTGGGAAAAGTGGCATCAGGGTGGGCTGAGGCTTTCTAACAACAGACTTGGTAATAATCCAAAGGCAGACAGCTGTGCGTGTGAGCAACTCCAGGGAGCTGAGAGAACGCCGTGAAGCAAATCCTCAGTATGAAGTGACTGTCTTATGAGCAAAGGCTAAACAGGTTGGGACTCTACTCACCAGGGTTTGGAAGAATGACCGGTGACCTCATTGAAACGTATCAGTTTCTTAAGGGGCTTGACAGGGGTAAATGCTGAGAGGGTGTCTCCCCTCCTCACGGGAGACTCTGGGACCAGAGGGCACCATCTCAGAATAAAGGGTCAGCAATTTAAGGCTGAGATGAGGAGGAATTTCTTCTCTCAGAGGGTTGGGTGTCCTTGCCACAGAGAGCTGGGGGGATGGGGGTGCGGAGCCCTTGTGTATATATAAGACTGAGATAGATAGATTCTTGATCAGTTGGGGCAACAAAGGTTACAAGGAAAGGGCAGGAAAGTGGGTGTAAGGAGGGTCGGATCAACCATTATCCTACTGAATGGCACAGCAGACTTGAGGGGCTGAATGGCATACTCCAGTTCTTATTTCTTATGGCCTTAAGGTTTTAAATTGCCACACACTGTATGATCTGGGCTCACCTTTATTTCTGAATGCTGTCATATATTACAGGCTGAACAGATGGGCGTACTTTGTCCTGGAAAAGGGAAGACTGAGGGGTGAGCTGATGGAAGCCATTACAATCCTGAAATCACGGGATGTCCCAAACCAGGGACCATACACCTAAGAAATGTCATTCATAAATATCCTGGGGAATTCAGGAGAAAGCGTCTAAACTCACCGTGTGGTAAATGTTGAGCTCACTTTCACAGGGAGAAGCTGAGAGGAATGGTGTAGGTTCATTGAGGAGAAGCTAGATATAAACGGGGAGAAAGGAACCATAGAAAAGAACTAATTCTACTTCACCGCCATCTCCCCTCCCACTCCCATGCTGCCATTCAATAAAATAATTGTTTACCTTTCATGTCCACTCCAATTTTCCACCCTTTTCTTATTCCCGATTCCTTTGGTGATTCCATCAATCCCAATCTTGAATATACTCAGTGCTAGGGAAAGGAACAAATCCAGTGAGATTCAGATGAAGAGAAGTCCATCATCTGGGAGGCTCTCATGCTGCTGTAAACATGATGACATTGAAGAAGGGAGACAATTCTAATTGTAGTAACCACAGAGGAATTTCCCTCATGGCTGCCAGAGAAAATCTCCCAAGGGCACTGCCTAACGGCCAAGGAAGGACCAGGATTGTAAGGCCTATTTCTCAATTGTATTTCTTTTTATTCATTGACAGGATGTGGGCATCACTGGTTGGGTCAGTATTTATTGCCTATCACTAATTTCCTAGATGTTGTTACGGGTCAACCCCATTGCTATGGGCCTGGAAGCCAGGCCAAGTAAAAGTGCAATATTTCCTTCCCTAAAGGACGTTAGTGAACCAATTGACAGTGGTTACATCAAACTAATTTTTTTTATTGAAATCAAATTTCATCATCTGCTAGGGTGGGATTCAAACTCATGTCCCTAGAACTTGAGCCTGAGTTTCTGGATTGCTTAGTCCATTAGCACGACCACAATACCCCAAACTCCTGCTCTTGTAACTCCCTCTGAGTGTTAACTATTAACAGCCCATGGTGTTGCAATTTGGATATACAATTGCATGAGTCCTCCTGGTCCAATAAGCTGATGTCCTGGAGAAACCAGTGTGCAGTTGAATGTAACATTCTTTCAAATCAATGACCTCTCATCAGCATTTGGAGAAACTCTGTGTATCGTAGAGTAGAGAAGGTTAAGACGAGATTTAATGGAGGTGTTCGAAATAATGCAAGAGATTACTGGGAGAAAAGGAGAAATGTTCTTTCACTGGCTAGGAGGGGTTAGTAATGTGGGACAACAGGGGGCAAGAAACCAGGAGAAGCCAATAAAAAACTGTTTTCTGGAGGTGAGGTGTTAGAGTTTCGAATACATGGCCTGAAAAGGTCAGGGAAACAACTTCAAAAGAAGAGATTTAGAACAAGTTCAGAAGAGATTTACCAGGATGTTGCCGGGACTGGAGAGTTTGAGTTATAAGGAGGGGCTGGATAGGCTGGGACTTTTCTCACTGGAGTGTAGGAGGTTGAGGGGTGACCTTATCAAGGTTTATAAAATCATGAGGCATATAGATACAGTGTCTTTTCCCTAGGGTGGGGGATTTCAAGATTAGGGGGTGTAATTTTAAGGTGAGAGCAGAAAGATTTAAAAAGGAGGTGAGGGGCAATTTCTTTTACACAGAGTGGAGTGGTGGATGCAGGTACAGCTACAAAGTTTAAAACACATTTGGATAACTGAATGAATAGGAAAGGTTTGAAGGGATATGGGCCAAGCGCAGGCTGGAGGGACTAGTTTAGTTTGAGATGTCTGGTTGACATGGACTGGTTGGACCGAAGGATCTGTTTCTATGCTGTATGACTCTCAAAACAATAAGAGAACTAATATAAATACTCAAAAAGGAAAACAAAAACAAAACGCAGGGACCTGGCAAAGGAGCAGGGAGAGTTGGATTAATTCAACTGCTCTTTCAAAGAGCAGGAACAGGTACAATGGGCTGAGTGGCCAAATGGCATTATTTCAAAGGATGTTTTTACAGGAAACATTTATTACAAAGCAAGCTTATGGTAGCACAAACAGAAGTTGGTGGGAAAGCTCAGCAGGTCTGGCGGTATCTGTGAAGAGAAATCGGAGTTAACGTTTCAGGTCCGGTGACCCGGGTTCTGAGGAAGGGTCAACGGACCCGAAACATTAACTCTGTTTCTCTTCACAGGTGCTGCCAGATCTGCTGAGCTTTTCCTGCAACTTCTGCTTTTGTTCCTGATTTACAGCATCCGCAGTTCTTTTGGTTTTTAAGCTTACGGTATGCAACCAGATCATTTGGCCCTAAATAATTTTTCCAATTTATTCATTGCTTCATATTATAAACGTAGACAATGAATTTAACTGAAATCCTGTCTGCACTGGGCTCTTACACTGTTGAACAAAACAGTGTAATTTGGAGATTTATTTTGAGACATCCTGGATTGCAACTTTCCTGAAATTGCATTACAAGAAATATGATCCTCAGTCAAACTAACAGCTCTGTAAATAAATTATCTGAATTGACATTCATTTAGACCCTGAACCTAGAAGCTACATGACTAATATATAATCTCCATGGGGAAAATGCCATTGCTGGTCACATTTTATTCATTAAATATTATCTTTTTAATATTGTTTCTCAGGACCTGCTGCATACAAACCCACTCTCAAGACCGCACCCACAACGGCATCAATGGTTTCCAAGCAGCCACGGTTTAAAGACCGGAACATTCACACTCCTGGTCCTGCAGACTATGAGGTAAACCATTTGCTTGTTCCAGCCACTGCTTTAACCACTAACAAGATGCATCCCTTGCAATAGATAGATTCTGGTGATATGTTTGACTACCGATGAGTGAAGCGTTGCACCAATATTAGGGAAACATGTGGAAGAGGAATAGACCAGTCGGCCCTTCTAACCTGTTCCTCCATTCAATCTGATCATGGCTGATCTGTGTCTCAAATCTAGCAAACGGTCTCATTCTGTAACCCTTCATCTTGATGAAAAGGTATCATCTCAGGTTTGATATTTCAATTGATTCTGTCTGGTTGGAGTGGAGTGAAGTTCAAATGGAGATATTGAACTGATTGCCTGATTCCCACTCTGACTGTTGTCCTGGTGCTGGGGTCTAATACATCTGCTTGAATCAGGTTGCACTGAGTTACCAATCTACCATGATTGTCCTGTCATCTCCAAACACTGAAGTCAAATCTCGGTGGTACCCCTGTTGTATATTTTATAACTCGGGCCTATGCAGAGATGAGACTAGTTTTTGTGTACATATCCGTTTTTTTTTCACAAGGCTTTAAAATGTCTGCTCCATGTTTCCAGCTTCAGATCCCAGCTCTGTCTGCAACTTGTTTTCTTTTTCTCGGAGTCCACACCCAGACCAAACCAAGCAAACATAGTGAGCATCAATGGTAAACAGTCTCACATAATCAAATACAGAACAAATGAACACAATGCTATGAACAATGCCCCAAAACAAAATTACGAGCAATGATTTCATCTTTGAAATAACTCCACAGAGGCTGGTATCCTGTCACCAAGTCACCCTTTATTTACATGGGGTGAGTCCTTGACATTGATCCAGCTCCCTCACAGCCAGCTGTCAGAGTGAGCAGAACCTCTAACATTCCTGTTTATATCTATCAGCCAGGATTCCCTGATTGAATCAGATTAACACCCAATCAGGGAACTCATCTTCTATGAGGTCCACCTGGCTGACCTCATTACAATCACTACAATCTTCTATTAACATTTTGCACGTATCAGTGAGGAATGTATTCCAATGGGGGAAGTGCTATTTGATTCATGATCAAGAGTCATCAGTCAGGTAACACTCTCTTTCTAATTAGTGGGGTCAGAGCAGGGTGATGTCTAGATACTAGTGATATCAAGGGATATTGTGAATGTGTAGGAAAAGGAAACATCCAACCAAGATCCAGAACAGCAGAGGAGGCTTGAGGGGATGAATGGCCTACTATGTTACTATGTTACTATGTGCCTGGCATCTTCACCTCAAGTGCCAATCAGTGAACATCACTGTTAATGTCCAGTGGCTTTACTATCCTTAAATTGCTCACAGGCAATATCCTGGGGGTTACCCTTGACCAGAAATTGAACTAGACCAACCTTATATATCCTGTAATTACAAAAGCAGGTGTCGGGCCTGGAACTTTGTGATAAATAACTCACTCCTTGATTCTCAAAGACTTCTCTAAAAGATGGGAGAAGCATCTTTTGATGTTGTGACTTGGCACAAGGGTGAACCTTTGCAACCTGGGGTGTCTTCATAGAATCCCCATAGTCTGGAAGCAGGCCATTTGGCCCATCTAGTCTACACTGACCCTCCAAAGAACATCCCATCCAGACCCACCCCATCCCTATAACCCTGCATTTCTCATGGCTTACCCACCTAGCTGGCACATCCTTAGTTACTGTGCGCAATTTAGCATGACCAATCCACCGAATCTGTAAATGTTTGGACTGTGAAAGGAAACCGGAGCACCCGGAGGAAACCCATGCAGACACGGGGAGAATGTGCAAACTCCACACAGACAGTTGCCTGAGGGTGGAATTGAACCCAGGCCCCACATGTGGAAACCACTATCCTACAGACAGTGGAATGTCAAGTATCCCATGTTGCTTGCCACGTAGTGTTTAATAAATGTGGTTTTTATTTCATTTGTTTCAGTAAGAGTCTTAAAACTTGGAATCTTACCATCATTTGTTTTAAAGTTGGTCATTGGGAAACAATAAGAGGAAGAAACTTGCAAGTCAGTAGGAGAGAGAGTATCCATCCAGCTCAATGTTTACTTGTTAAACTATTTCTGCCTTTTCTTCATGTTTGAAGTATTCTTGTAACTTGATATGTAGACTCAGGAACACTGTCAATATTGGCTGTTCATGTTTTTCCCAAAGTAAATGTTCAGTTTGTTGATGAATTGGACTTTTATGAAAGTCTTTGTCTGATCATCAACTGGGTGAAAGATAGCTCCTTTCCCTTGTCATACAGGTTAGGAAGTATCTGTGTTTTACGGGGAGATGTGTAGGATATGTACGTTGAATTCCATAAAATCTACAGCAAAAGAAGCGATTTGGCACAACTTGTCAATATTCCCATCTAGACACCTCATCCTGTCTACACCGCCTTTATTTATTTACCCCTTATACACCTACCTAATTTCCCCTTCATTTTATCTGTACTTTTTAACTCAACTATTGCTTGTGGTAGTAAGTTCCCCTTCTCACTGGTCAGGTTTTGATTGATTGTGTTCAGGTAGGTTTGACATTTGTACTTCCAAAGCCATTTTTGTACCACATCTGTCTGCAATGCTATTGTACAACAGACTATTTATGTTAATTGCCTAAAATATTTCAGTGAGGCTGATTTCCACTCTGGGGATTGGCCATGTAGGTTTGATTTATAGACTATTGAAACCTTCTGGCAGGTACCAATAAACAAGAATACTTTAGGACTGTAAACATTTAGTAGACTGAGAAAGAACAGCAATCACTTATATGCCCAGTCAGTGTTTAAAAGAATAAAAAGGTCAATAATTGGCTTTATTTGCATGTTACCATTTTAACAAATCAATTCTGTGAAGGATTCTCTTTGCGTTAAAATTTCAGACTCAATTTTTTCTTAGTTTGCATTTTACCACATTAAAATCTGGGTAACACCCCTGCTCTGAGTCAGAAGGTAGTGAGTTCAAGTCTAACTCAGAGACTCAGCTACAAACCGTAGATAGAAACTCCAGTGCAATACTGAGTGAGGAATGTACTGTTGGGAGCGCTATCTTTCAGTGGAGATTAAACCAAGATAATGTCTGGGCTCCCAGGTGGACATGATGGGTCCCATGAGTCTGATTTACAGGATAGTGCTCCCTGGTGTTCTGGTCAACATTTATCCCTCAATTAATACGGACTTAATAAAAGCAGATTATCTGGTCATTAGTGCATCACTTTGTGCACAATCTGGTTGCTGCGTTCCCTACATCTCAAAACACACGAGACTTCAAAAGTACATCATTGGCTGTAAAATGCTTTGAGTCATCCAGAGTTGGTGAAAGTTGTTACGCAAATGCAAGTCTTTGATGCTGAATGTAAACTTGCATCCCCAAATTTAGTTAATTCCTGGTCAGAGAGAACAAAGACCATTCCTAAGCTACATGGCAAAAAGCTTACAATAGGTCTTGTCAGTATCTGTCAAACAATCAAGTATTGACAGCATAGGAAGAAGTGACGGCAAATAGTCTGGCTCTGTAACTGTGTCTGAATGTAATGCCAATTACAGTTTTAAAGAACTCCTGAGTTCAACAAAACAATGAACTCTACTGAGGACCATTCACAGTGGGAGCAGCTTCATCACCTTCGATGCCATATTAGTTTGAAAACCTAAAACCCCATTTCAACTTTCATTCCTCTATTTGTAAATGCTGAGCTTACATAATTTATGCAAAAAAACTGATTTCAAATGAAACAAAATGCATTCAGATGGCATGCAAACAGCTTGAAAGTGCAAATGCCCTTATACTTGAATCAGTCCTGGTATTATATTTTATGATATTGGACAAATCAGGTGCCACGGTGTTTCGTCATGTCGCATGATGTTCTTGAATAAAAGAACATGAGTTAATGACACAAGACAGAAAGAACAACAAATTTAGTGTTGTCAAACAGAGAGACCTAGGGGCTCAGGTACACCATTCTTTGAAGTTTGTGTCACTAATAGACAGGGTGGTTAGAAAGCTGTTTGGCATGTTTGCTCAGATCATTGAGTATAGGATTGGAGACGACATGTTGAGGTTGTACAGGACGTTGGTGAGGCCTTTTCTGGAGTACTGTGTGCAGTTCTGGTTGCCCTATTACAGGAAGGTTATTATTAAATTGGACAGGGTTCAGAAGAAATTTACCAGAATGTTGCTGGGAATGGAGGGTTTGAATTATAAAAATAGGCTGGATAGGCTGGGACTTTCTTCACTGGAGTGTAGGAGGTTGAGGGGTGACCTTATAGAGGTTTATAAAATCGTGTAGGGCATAGACAAGGTGAACAGCATAGGTCTTTTCCCTAAGGTGGGGGAGTTCAAAACTAGGGGCCACATTTTTAAGGTGAGAGGAGAAAGATTTAAAAGGAACCTGAGAGGCAAATCTTTCACACAGAGAGTGGTACGTGTATGGAATGAGCTGCCAGAAGAAGTGATAGATGCAGGTACAGTTACAACATTTAAGAGACCTTTGGACAGATACATGAATAGGAAAGGTTCAGAGGGATATGGGCCAAACACAGCAAGTGGGATTAGTTTAGTTTGGGAAACTTGGTCGGCATGGACTAGTTGAGCAGAAGGGTCTGTTTTCCGTGCTGTATGACTCTATGACTCTGCGTGACAGTTTAGACGATTTTAATGAAAAACAACTAGTAAAATATTCCAGACAACAAGGTGTAGAGCTGGATGAACACAGCAGGCCAAGCAGCATCATAAGAGCAGAAAGGCTGACGTTTCGGGCCTAGACCCTTCATCAGAAAAGGGGGAGGGGATGGGGGTTCTGAAATAAATAGGGAGAGAGGGGGAGGCGGATAGAAGATGGATAGAGGAGAAGATAGGTGGAGAGGAAACAGACAGGTCGAGGAGGCGGGAATGGAGCCAGTAAAGGTGAGTGTAGGTGGGGAGTTAGGGAGGGGATAGGTCAGTCCAGGGAGGAGGGACAGGTCAAGGGGGCGGGATGAGGTTAGTAGGTAGGAGATGGGGGTGCGG